CCCTCCCTTCTCCCCCCCCCCCCCCCCCTTCCGCTTTTTTTTCCTTTTCCCCAGGTGTTCGCCGGGTCCCCTTCTCTAAACAGAGGTCAAGGAGTTCACAACGACATTCAGCTGACCTCCAATGAAGCATATGGTCAGTACTCAAACAAGGACACATCCCACCTCTCGCAACACGCGTATGGACAAGTGCAGCTGTGATGTAGCTATAATACTACCATGTGAACATTCAGTACGATTGTAGCTTATCCTTAATTGGCTTCTAGTCAAGTTGAAAATAAAATGGTATTTGTTGTAAACTCAAGGTGTGTGGCAGGAGATCGAATCCACGTTTCAGCCTAAAAGTTAAATAAGGGGTGTCTTTTGGCAACAGGGCTCACTTGGCGCTGAGCTGGGCACTCTTTCAGTGCTGGTAGTTTAGTCAAGCTTGCTCCCCATACCGAGTCACACGAGTACAAAACCGAAGAGGGAGCCCCTGTGGGGCATGCGTGCTGGTACACGCAAGCGGAACCATAAAGTGGTATGTACGTGTACATATGCATTACCCTGTCTCTCTATATACTAGCTTACATTCGATCTAGGTAAATTTCTGACCCACGCACAGCCACCTATCGGCTATGCATTGTGTGAATAGCACTAACGGGGGCGGTATATACATTCCACACATTTGCCAGTAACTCCAAGAAAGGAATTGCACTGCAGTGAATCACTGCTCCTGGCAAACTGTGAGGATGACTAGCGGTACTACGGAAAACATTATAAAGTAAAAATATATGTATATTTATTTAAAGTACATATTTAATTTTTATATATAAAAGGACATATTAGGAGCATTGTTTGCTACAACCAGCGCTTTCCAGCCACATCATGACACTTTGAAATTTTAACCCGCATGCGCAAAGAGTTAAGCTACTTTAGATGGCATTCTTGGTTGCTCATCTGCTGCATCTTGCTTCACTTGCAGCGCAAGCCATGGAGCTCTGCAATGATAATAGGTTTCGTCTTGTTGTAAAAGATCATTACTCTTTCTTCATAAGTATTCAAGTGTCAGCACGTGCTGGAGGCATCTGACATTCACAGGTCAACCAGTACAAGTCTCGCTACACCTGGGGAGTACACTGATGGAGGAACAGTTACAGCATGTACTGCACTAAGATCCCAATGCCTTAGTCACAGACCACATGTGACCAAATGCACTGAAGCTCTGTGAAAATCACTCGAAGAGTGCTCCTCTACTCTGACTACACAGTCAGTGATGACAGTCTCAATATGACAGAATACACTGTGTTGATGAGATGTGGACACAGGAGTATCTTGTGTCATAGGTGGATTGGTTTGTGAGAGTTATGCATACTGGTAGTCGAGGTAAACAATCATCTACAGATCCTCTATCACACTCTCAAATCAACTCAGCCACCATCTCAGCAGAGAGATGTGGGAGCGAGGAGAAGAAGTGGTGGGTGAGTGTGGAGTGGAGTGAGCCCATCGTCAGTTGTGGTGGCTCTGTGTTCTCAGTATGTGTTGACCCTGACTCGCCCACCTCTGATTGCCACGTCATCTGGAGACTGTATGGTCAGGGATGGTAGTCAGACACACAACCTGGTACTCAAGACCCAGTACAGTCTCACCGTGACTAGTCAGGACTATGACATCACAGTCAGAAGCTGATACATGTGTGGATCACTGACTGGAGCACCAGCTCCTATACAATATTAACTGACAGGTGAAATTATTGATGAGTGTGTAAATATTACAGAGGAAACTCCCAATTTTGTTCCTCTTACCAGAATTTGACATAGTGCGTGCTCTCTACATGTATAGTCCAGTTGATGGTTCACTGAGAGCCATTGAAGTCAATTGGACACCAATACCGGTAACAAGTATGGTTAGCAAACAATCTGTAACCTCTTGTTTGTAACAGCAGAACAATCCAGGAGGGCCCCGGAGTACACAGTGGGATGCAATAGCGCATGGTGGCGTACTTAATGAGTGAAAGGGAGAGAGTGAGAGCGCGCAGCTCGCACTCGATGCAGCCAACACCTACTACCCAGCGCCAAGCAGTGACGGAGAAGAGTGGAGTGTCTGTGGAGACTGGCTGGCTGTGTGACTAGACAGACAGTATGCCAGGAGAGACCAGTCTGTGAGGAGGCACTCCCAGTCTCACCTCATCTCTCATAACTGGTCTTTCGCATGTGCTTTACAGATTGGTTTTCATTGAGGGACGTGTCTGCCCTCTCTGGTGAGGAGACAGAGTGTGGTAGTGAGTGGTCGTGAGTGCGGGTGGGGTGTGGTTAGAGGTGGAAGACAGTGGTAGGATCAGTGGCAGTCTACTTCTGTGATTGATGGCTATAAGTCCTCGAGGGAGACACTACCAGAGAAGGTCTCTCTAGTGGCCTCTGGAATGGTACACTCTCAATGTGTGGGAGCAGAACATGGTATGAAGCATCAACACTTTATTACACAAGAGTAGTGCAACTCTTCACATACAGATTTTGCCGAGAGAGAGCGTACAAAATATTGGCGTGGTGTGCAGCTTGTGTTTCTGACTACATTGGAGTTCTACTGGGAGTGTTGGGACTGATATACTCATACAGAGAGAGTGAGGGGAAGGATGTCTGGCCCAACCGCCTCCCCTCCACTACCCTCCGCGACCAGTCGCAGCTATGAGGAAGTGGGTGTGGCAGAGAGGTAAAGAGATCACAAGACATTCAGCTGACCTCCAATGAGGTCAGTACTCAAGGACAACATTCCCACCTCTCACAACACTGCTTATGGACAAGTGCAGCTGGTGATGGTGTATTTAGATAGCCAGTGTGAACAGATGTCATATGTGTCTGCTATTTTCTTAGAATGTTTATCCTTCACATGGTTGTGGAAACTAAAAAGAATTTTCAGCGCTTTTTGGCACCACATGAAATTGGCCATTGAACTTAGCAGCGAATTCAACAGTTATTCATAGCAATGTGCCTGGAATTTCCATGACTGTTGAAGTAGTTGCCCACTCTGCCTACACACATTCCTCATGAGTGGCTAATTAAACCTTTAACCCATTTGTGAGGAGTTAAATTCTAAAGCATTAAAGGATGAGTATCTCACTTTGGTTGTCTGGATTCTGGGTCTTGCCTTTGTTTTTAGGTAAGTGTGTGTACAGATCTGTTGGTTACTCTGCCAATTTTGAATAGTAACGATAATTTCAGGGACAGTGAGCCAGTTAACTGGACAATCAGATGAGATATGTCCTGGAGATGATGTCATATTCACATGTGTAGTAGGCGGTACAGTGTACCAGCTGGACTTTCAGTCCACCTGGAGAGCCTGACAGAACATGTACCTATCTCAGCGTTTACCAGATCAAAACCCCATGCAATCCACCAGATGAGAGGTTTAGAATATCTCAAACTGAAGGCAGTGCAAGCAACTTTAACTCTTCTCTGAGTCTGGCCTCAATTACAGAAAATCTCAATAAACTATGGTTGGATGTACAGATGGTAATAGTGGTAACCAAGTTGGTACAGACAACATCTGTATTGTAGGTACGACTGTGCCTCAAACTCTTATGCTTTCCTCAGACAGTTTCTTGTTTAGGAAGTGCCTCAGCTCCGCAGTCACCTACTGTCAACATAGCTGAGTTTGACAATGATGGCTGTACTCTGGATGTGAGCTGGAGTGAACCTGTCATCAGTTGTGGTGGCTCTGTGTCTCAGTATGTGTTGACTGTGACTCCACCCACCTCTGATTGCCAGTCATCTGGAGACTGTATGGTTATGGATGGTAGTTCAGTCATCACCACACCTGGTACTCAGACCCAGTACAGTCTCACTGTGACTAGTCAGGACTATGACATCACCATCAGAGCTGATACATGTGGTGGATCACTGACTGGAGACACCAGCTCCCTGTACAATATTAACTTGACAGGTGAAAATTATTGATGAGTGTGTAAATATTACAGAGGAAACTCTCAATTTTGTTCCTCTTACCAGGAAATTTGACATCGTGCAGTGCTCTCTACATGTATAGTCCAGTTGATGGGTCATTGAGCGCCATTGAAGTCAATTGGACACCAATACCGGTAACAAGTATGGTAGCAAACAATCTGTTAAAACCTCTTGTTTGTAACAGCGGAACAATCCAGGAGGGCCAGAGTACACAGTGGTGATAGAGGATGGTGTGGGGTCTAGAGTGAGGGAGAGAGTGGGAGCTGTCAACTGTAGCTCCACTCGATGCAGCCACACCTACTACCCAGCAGCCGGCAGTAGAGGGGAGTTTGGAGTGTCTGTGGAGACTGCTGGCTGTGTGACTAGACAGACAGTGTGTCTGGAGAGACCAGTCTGTGAGTGAGACAACTCCCAGTCTCACCTCATCTCTCAATGACTGGTCTTTCCTTGTGTACCAGATTGTTCATTGAGGGACTTGTCTCCCTCTCTGGTTGAGGAGAACAGAGTGTGTGGGTCAGTGAGTGGTGGTGGGGTGTGTTACAGTGGAGACAGTGTAGGATCAGTGGCAGTCTACTTCTGTGATGATGGCTATAGTCTAGAGGGAGACACTACCAGAGAATGTCTCTCTAGTGGCCTCTGGAATGGAACCACTCCTCAATGTGTGGAGATAATCAATGGTTGTATTACACCTCAAAGTAAAATGGTTAGTGCATGCATTATATTTTCTCATAGAGTGCAAACCAGAAGAATGCATAGTTTCTCCAGAAAAAGACGACAGTCAAACTGCAGCAGTGGTTGCCAGCATTGTTTGCAGTCTTGTGTTTCTAACTATTGGAGTTCTACTGGGAGTGGTGGGACTGTACCTCATACAGAGAGTGAGGGGCAGGATGTCTGGCCCCACCTCCTCCTCTCCCCCTCCCCTCCCTCCACCAGTCACCTATGAGGAGGTGGGTGTGGCAAGAGAGGTCAAGAGTTCACAAGACATTCAGCTGACCTCCAATGAGGCATATGGTCCAGTACTCAAGGACAACATTCCCACCTCTCACAACACTGCTTATGGAAAGTGCAGCTGTGATGGGTTATTTTTAGACATCCAGGTGAACAATGTAAGATATTCTTAGATTGTTTATCATTACATGTTGTGGAAACTTTACAAGCACCAAAAAATGTTCAGTGCTTTTAGGCACCACACAAAACCATTGCCATTGAACTTAGCAGCGTATTAGACGTTATTCGTATCATTTGGGCTGGAATTCACATGATTGTTGAGTAGTAGTTTGCCACTATTTGTCTATACAAACAAAAGCATTCTTTTCATGCTGGTGGTGAATTAACTTTTAACTCCTATTGGTGAGGAGTTAAAGCATTGAAAGTATGAGTATCTAACTGGTTGTCTGGATTATGGGTCTTTGCTTTGTTTTTAGGTAAGTTTTTTTAATAGTTTTTGGCTACTCTGCCACTTTGGACAATTTCAGGGACTTGGGCCAGTTAACTGGACATCTAGTGGTATATGTCCTGGAGATGATGTCAGGTTCAATTGTGTATTTAGTACTTACTGCTGTCACCATCTGAGAGTCACTCTAGAGAATGTCACGACATCTGTATCTACGAACTTGATGATTCCTCTTCAACACAGAGCCTGTGGACCAGGAGATCTTCTCACAATCATCCTGTACGATGTGGAAAATGGAGACCTAGCAACGCCTCTCCTGATTGTGACCAATAACTATGGATCTCAGTTGGACATCTGTGACATGTTCAGATGGAATGCTAATATTGAAGGTGGAGGAGGCGGAATCCTATGGTGCGCACTAAAAGAGCGAAAAGGAAAGGAAAAGGAGGTATAAAGAGGAGGGGAACCGGTAAGCACACACGGTGGAGAACTACGAGGTAGCGGGAAAGGACCCGAGAAAGGAAGAAGAGAAGGATTTAAACTAGGCGAGCACGGTAAGTAAAATAGGTCGTAAATGAAAGAGGGAGAAACGAGAGAAAGAAAAGGGGCCGGAAAAAAAGGAGTAGAAAGAAAAGGGAAGCATAGAACGACATTGGATCCAAGACATCTGTGTTAAAGGTACATTGTTAATACTGTTTGTCCTACAGTCCTTTCTTTTCTCACTCTGGCTAATGACTTTTGCAATTTTGCTATGGGTGTCCAGGGGCAGATCGAGAAAATTAGCCTGGTTTGATCGAAACATGTAATGTTATGCTAATTTCGTCGAACGTGGCCATGCCATTTTACATGCTCCAATATGCCTGTGCTTACCGTGTAGGAGGCAGTGGAGGCAAAAGAACGCCGCTGCCTAGATAATGCCACTATAGTTTGATGAGTGTTTTCATGAACAGTCACCACCCACACAAGCAAGGTGGTGAT